CAATAATGATAATGTTATTAGTGTGTCATTGGATGTTGTTGATTTATTGAAAACAGTGAATCCCAACATTGTTTGTACTCCTGCTGGTATTAATTTATGGAACGAAGATAAGCACACGAATGATGCTGATAAGGAGGAGGATATGGACAGTGAGGATGATGAGAACGATGCCATTGAAGTCAGAAGTGTAGTGACTGACGCGCAAGCTATACAAGTTTTTAACCAAGCTTTAGATTGGGCTGAAAGAAAAGAAGTTTCATACACGGATATTTTAGTTCTTCGTAAATTACGAGCGCAGGCATTGGAAGACAATGCTAAGCGCAAATTTACGCAGACAAAAATTGTTATGTTTCTTCTAATTAAAAAAATACTTATCGCTGTTAGAATATTTGTTTATTTTGTTATAAATAGTATGTATTAAACGTTTCTTTTAATAAATCAAATATTATATAAATCACGTTCGCTAATGTGAACCACACTTGGATTAAATTAGTTTACATTATCGAGCGTCTGCTGTATTTACTTTTTTGTAAGATACTGGGTTGGCATTGAAAATCCTCGAGCAGAGAAAAATCCAGGACCTTTGTATGAGTGTCTTCTCCGGCTTTGGGACTACATTGTGAAACAGCATTTTCTGACGGGTACCATACCAATGTTCAGTTTGCTTCAATAAATACCTCTACTGGAACTGAAAAGTAAAAGCTACTACTACTAGCTGTCAGGCAAATCAGCCTAAGTTTGCACCTAGTAATAACTGTTTATGCCTAACTTTGGTACGATGGCCTTCACAACTGGATAACCACGCTTAAAATAAGCCAATTTAGATTATGCAGCCAAATTGCATTACGTGATGCGAGACCTAGCCGAACAATTAAATCGTTACGTATGTTCACAACAGAAAAGGAAGCACTTGCACTGGAAAGTGAAGTAAGGACATTGATGTATTTGGCAAGTCTAATGAGTGCTGAAGCGTATAGTCCACCTGTGAGGTGAATGTGAAATACTTCGATCCCACATGTAGGCTGGAGTCTCACAGAGTAATGAGAGTGAACGTTTTCGCTGCTTGTATAGAGAATATCGCTTCATTCAGTATAAGATAGTATTAAGGCTTCTTAGAAGCCCCCAGTTTTTTTGCGTATGCCTTTCTACAGCAATATATATTTGTATATCGTTCAGAAATTCCTTTTAAATAACAGGTCGTTAAACTGCTATTAAAATTCAGCGGCACCCAAATTCTGTGCTTTCGCCTATGCTTTCAAACTGATGTCAGGAGTCGCATACGCTACTAGAAAATAAATTTCATAGGTTTGGGTTTCGTTGTTACTTCAAATCATCTGAGGATAAGTATATGCGTTGACCAATATACAGGGTGTTTCAGTTTATTGTTACATGGGTCGAAAAATGCGTGGCTTCCGAAGTACAGGGTGTTTAAATTTACTTTCTAAAATAGTTTTTTTTAAATATTTCGAACAATATTTGATGTATAACAGTGAAAATTTGTATACAAGGGTTTTTTGGTACGGCAAAACGAACCATGGGCATAGTTTTACTGTAGACGCTAGAGGGCGCTCTCTACTGTACCTGTAGTGTATTGAAATGACCGAAAATTTTTTCTTAGTGAAATTTTTTGATTTTTGAATAAAAATACTGATTCTTCGTACTTTTCAACATAAAAAAGCTCTCTTGTGAATTTTCGTTATAGTTAGCCGTTTTCTAGATATTTCGATTTTTAAGGTTCGATGCATCTTTAACTATTTATGATAAAATAGCGTTAAAAAGTCAGTATCTTGATAATTTTTAGAAGTAGGCTGTGCCTGCAAATATTTTTGAAATTGAAAGCAGAATAAGGTTAAACGTCAATTAGTTGACAGTTAGTTTTGTTGTCTGTTGAAACCTGATACGTGTTTTTGCAATTGTGAATGCACGAAATTTAGTTTCTTTTACCTGTTTTTTTTGTAAGTTTTATAAAAATGCCATTTTTATTCTCCAATCAAGAGTTAGCGGATATTCATTTTGTGTATAGCTTTGTAAATGGAAACGCAGCAGAAGCAGCCAGAGAATACGCGCGAAGATTTCCAAACAGTATTTGTAAGAGTGCATCGCCAAATAATTGAAAATGGTTTTGGAAATCTCCAAAGGGATCAAAACATAAATGTTCATGAGCACAGATTTACCCGTATGATTCTGCGTGAGTTTGATAGAGATCCGATCACAAGTGTTAGGAGCGTTTCTGGTGCCTTGGGAATTTCAGCAAGCCATGTTCACCGTGTTCTTAGAAATGACCATAGACGTCCTTACCATTTGCAACCTATGCAAGGACTACAGCCAGGGGACGGAGAACGAAGAATGACATTTTGTCAGTGGATTCTTGATAGAACTGATAATAATAGGGAGTTTTTAAGTAACGCTTTATGGACCGATAGGTCATGCTTCACTAGACGTGAAGTGGTAAATTTTCATAATAAACATATTTGGTCGCATGTAAATCCGCATGCAGTTCGGGAAAGAAATTTTCAGCATGAATTTAGTGTGAACGTGTGGATTGGTATCTACCGTAATCGACTATCTGGACCCTACCTTTTGCCTGCAAGGTTAAATGCTGCGACCGTCTTGGAATTTTTAAAGGCTGAACATGCAAATATGTGGGATCATGTTATGTTAGACTTAAGAAGATTGGCCTGGTTCCAGCTTGATGGTTGTCCAGCTCATTATTCGAGAATAGTTAGAAACTGGCTGGACGAAAATTATCCAGAAAGATGGATCGGCCGTGGAGGACCAGTCGCCTGGCCTCCACGATCCCCTGACCTAAATCCATTAGATTTCTTTGTTTGGGGATTTCTAAAAGAAAAAGTGTACCAGACTCCCGTAACCACAAGAGATATGCTAATAGACAGAATCAGGAATGCATGTGATGAAATAAGGCCTTATTTGAATAATGCTATACCACGTTCGATCATTCGTAGATGTGAATTGTGTATTGAACAATTGGGTTTACATTTCGAGCAACTACTTTAGATTTTGTCCGTTTGTCCTAACTATCCAATAGCATTTTAGTTGTAAATAATTAATTTAATTTGTTAAAAATAAAATTGGAAAATTAAACAAATTAATATTGTTTTTTGTGTTTATTTGGAGTTAGGAATTATTGCTGTGTTTAAAAACACAATCTAAACTTGTAATGTCCAAATCGGAAATGTAAAAAAAATATTATTTTCCCATAAATAATTAAAAATGCATCGAACCTTAAAAATCGAAATATCTCAAAAACGGCTAATTATAACGAAAACTCACAGGAGAGGTTTTTTAGGCAGAAGAGTGCGAAGAATCAGTTTTTTTATTAACAAAGCAAAAAATTGCACTAAGAAAAAATTTTCGGCCATTTTAATACACTACAGGTACAGTAGAGAGCGCCCTCTAACGGCGACAGTAAAACTATGCCCATGGTTCGTTTTGTCGTACCAAAAAACCCTTGTATACCAATTTTCACTGTTATATATCAAATATTGTTCGAAATATTTAATAAAAACTATTTTAAAAAGTAAATTTAAACACCCTATATTTCGGAAGCCACGCATTTTTCGACCCATGTTTATATAGACATTGTGCATTAATTTTAAAAGTTCTATCGAATCTTAAAGTTATGCAACAATAAACTGAAACACCCTGTAGATAGCTGGAATTGACGCTTGGCAAGAGGCTCACTGCTGACAATTTTGCCAAGCAGTTAATCAAGGATAAATTGCGCCATAAAGGGATCAAAGATAAGTTTCATTAGCTCATTCTTCTCCACCTATCCTTTCTCGTCACCGTTATGCACCAGTTTACTGGCTTGACAGGGGTTTCGAGTCGCTCATGCCCTCTTATGGGATGTTTCACTGAATTCTCTACGGAAACCTATGCAGTTCTGACCTATGTATCTTGTATTGGAGACCCAAAGGACGAACAAATATCTATGCTTCCTAGGAAGTCTGGTAAGTGATGTTAAAAATACAAATACATTCTGGTTATATTGAGTTTTCGGCCCCTTGTCGAGAACAAAAGTAAAGTAGTAACGTTTTTGTGTAAAGTTGCATGAAAACCACCTGCAACTATTTATCAGGTGCGGACCGCCATTAATGGTCGCCAATATAACGAATGATCGAATCTATGAGAAAACAATCCTGAGCATGAATTTTGTACTGTTGTGAGGCCTAATCTCTTGAAAAAGGCGTACACGGCTGATAGATAACATTGCCTATTCTCCTTCTTCCATTTGTCAGGCACTTGTAACCAGCCCTACCGACGCAATATTATGAAATATCGATTGTGAGACCTGTAAAAAATAACTTTTTAAGAACGCTTCCATAAATCCACTTATCCAGGCATAAATAGTACCATGACTCTTTCCAAGCAGTTCTTCACGATATTTAGTAATCCAAACCCAGCTACATATTTTCAAAATCGATTAAAATACAGTAAATTGCTTGTGTGTCAGTAAATTGCTTGTGTGTTGCTAGATATAATATGCCAGTTATGTTATATGTATAAATTCTACTAACATCGACTTGTTTTTAGAAGCTAATTATGTCATATCAGCTTATCCAGTGCCAATTTTGTTACAATTTTAGCTGAATTGAACCTCCAACTTCATGACTTACTTATTATCATACTTCAACATTTACCCTAGGCGTAATCTTCTTAACAGCATAGCTAGCTGATGCATATTGCACTGGGACGAGATATCCTTATTGCAAACAGCCAAAAATGCGAAAGTAACGATCATTTAAAGTTCAATATAGCGGATCATATTAGAAGACGAGTCGCTCATAAATAAGTTTCAGAAATTGCAGCACCAATCCGCTTATAACTAGCGACATTTCTGACATTACCATAATACATTATATAACAAAAAGGAACGGCTTTCGAAGAATAAGATTCGCACGACCTTATTTAGGTACAACAACAGCAACATCTCGGGACATGCGCAGTAGATTCAAGCACTCGATCCTGCTAGAACTTACCAGGAGCGGTGTGTGATGCAGCATCCAGCAGTACCCTTGCAAGCTGAAGAAAGACCTATGGATACATGGACACACAAACACGGCCGATCATCCCTCGAAAAGCTCGCGACGATTCACGAATCGCGCCTCGCAACCGAACGGAGACTAGCGAACGAAACAACAATGTCCGCGAAGTGGAATTCTTGCATGGAACGACTGAACGGCGGCAGTACCGCGGTGCGCGCAGGTGGGGACAACGGCCATGGCATACCGCGATAGCAGTACCTGGGTATGCTGGCAGTAGGCTGGAGACCGCGGAGCAGGTTTGGGCTCCGCCGCGGGGAAAGGTCGTCGGAAGGCTACATACCGGGGCCCCGGAGCGTCGATTATTTCACCAGCAGCTGTAGCTTTTGCGGCTGTATCTGTGCCGTGCTTTCAGCACAATGTCGGATTTCACCTCAATGTGCACACATATGGCTCTCGCTAATCGTGAGTCGATTTTACCAAAAGACGGTCAACACGTCCCTTTGACAGAAATGTTATTGTATTTCAAAATCAAAGGACAATCGTGGGCACGTCCGCGATAAAGGAACAGGAGCTTAAATAAAAGGATTGCTAACCCGAGCGACGTACGTTTCCGCTTATTGGCTTCATCAGGCCCGAAGCAGCGAAATGAAAACATATGCCCATCACATCTGGATTTGGGCGTAACCTGAAGGAAAACAAGGATATAAGGGGAACAACAACCGGGAGCCACCAAAAACAAGCAGCAGGTATATAAGTGGCTTCGGTCAGAGGTATCCAGATGTGATGGTCATATGGTTTCACTTCGATATTTTCGACTAACATCAATTTTGGCCTGATGTAGCCAATAAGCAGAGACGTATGTCGCTCGGGATTCCAATCTTTCTATTTCTGCCCCTGCTCCTTTATTGCGGACACGTTCACGATTGTCCTTTGTTTTTCGTCTAAGTTTCCGCAAAGATCTAGAAATGTTGCTCCATAATGATTTTATCTTCTTTTAATGAAGCCTGGATTTTATCCCGCTTTCATGACTGCAACCTCCATTTTGTCATATAAACATCAGCATATCCTATTACCCAGAGGAGTGACTAGATGTAAGAGTTCCTAAATGAGGCTGAAAAACCAAAACGAAAACGCCAGAACAAGGAGCTACAAGGCACTTCATAGGTCTAGGTATTGCCATCGAGGTTTGCGATGCCTTGCTACTCCAAACAGGAGGTTCCAGGATTATGTGAAAAAGGAGTAACCTATGTTTTTTTTTATACCGAAGCAGGAAGAAGCCTAAATTCCGGGACACCGCAGCTGCTATGAGGATCCCAAAGGAACTTTTATCTGATTCTTGAACTGCCTAAGGTTAGTAGAACTGGGAAAAGCTCCCTCTTGTAGAGTATTCCGCAATCTCGACATCCTCGGGACAAAGGAGCGGTCGTATCGGTCAGTTCGGGATGTACGAGGTTCGACACGTTTAGGATAGGAGGCCAAAGTCAGGCGGGTCTGTCTGGTAGGCACATCGTGCGGCGAGGAGGAAAGCCCGTTGGTGTCGCGGCAGAAGAGAGCTAGATCGCCGACGGCTCGACGATGCGAAAGGGTGACGAGACTGTCTTTTAGGGAGGAGTCATCGATCAGTGGGACAGCCCCCCTCTGGAAAGCATCGAGGCTAGGCCTCATCTGCACTTTCCATAGAGTAAGAAGGTCATGAGTCGGTACTTCTTAGCCCTAAGCAAATAGCCTAGTTTTTCCTCAGCAGCTTCCAGATCAAGTCTTTGATGATATGGACTCCGACCACCCGAAATGAAAGGTTCTTTTTCAGAACCCGTCCATCCAAACTGTACAAGATTGTTGCCTCTCCAAGCAGTGATAACCTCCATGTCTCTCCTCAGAGAGGAAGGCGTCGCTAGTCTCCTTTTTTCCAGCTCAGCGGATTTCACCTCAATGTGCACACGTATGGCTCTTGCTAATCATGGGTCGATTTTACCAAAAGACTCTCAACACGTCCCTTTGACAGAAATGTTATTGTATTTCAAAATCAAGGGACAGTCGTGGGCATGTCCGCGATAAAGGAACAGGAGCTTAAATAAAAGGATTGCTAACCCGAGCGACGTACGTTTCCGCTTATTGGCTTCATCAGGCCTGAAACACCGTAATGAAAACATATGCCCATCACATCTGGATTTGGGGGTAACCTGAAGGCAAACAAGGATATAAGGGGAACAACAACTGGGAGCCACCAAAAACAAGCAGCAGGTATATAAGTGGCTTCGGTCAGAGGTATCCAGATGTGATGGTCATATGGTTTCACTTCGATATTTTCGACTAACATCAATTTTGGCCTGGTGAAGCCAATAAGCAGAGACGTATGTCGCTCGGGATTCCAATCCTTCTATTTCTGCCCCTGCTCCTTTATTGCGGACACGTTCACGATTGGCCTTTGTTTTTCGTCCAAGTTTCCGCAAAGCTCTAGAAATGTTGCTCCATAATGGTTTTCTCTTCTTTTAACAATGCCTGGATTTTATCCCGCTTTCATGACTGCAATCGCCATTTTGTTGCCATATAAACATCAGCATATCCTATTACCCAGATGAGTGACTAGATGATTTGCTGTAAGAGTTCCTAAATGAGGCTGAAAAACCAAAACGAAAACGCCAGAACAAGGCACTTCATAGGTCTAGGTATTGCCGTCGAGGTTTGCCATGCCTTGCTACTCCAAACAGGAGGTCCCAGGATTATGTGAAAAAGGAGTAACCTATGTTTTTTTTATACCGAAGCAGGAAGAAGCCTAAATTCCGGGACACCGCAGCTGCTATGAGGATCCCAAAGGAACTTTTATCTGATTCTTGAACTGCCTAAGGTTAGTAGAACTGGGAAAAGCTCCCTCTTGTAGAGTATTCCACAATCTCGACATCCTCGGGACAAGGGAGCGGTCGTATCGGTCAGTTCGGGATGTACGAGGTTCGACACGTTTAGGATAGGAGGCCAAAGTCAGGCGGGTCTGTCTAGTAGGCACATCGTGCGGCGAGGAGGAAAGCCCATTGGTGCGATCCACAGCGGACCTCCTAGCTTCCGTCGCGCAATTGTGGAGTAAATCCGTCCAGTCTTATGGTGAGGCTCAGTCGTTGACCTTGATATCACTTTCATCGTATGGCTTCTTGCAGATGGGTGGCCGACTTTCTCTCATCCCATGGCACAATTCCATAGCTCATTACAGAATGAAATAGGGCATAGCATGCTGATGCTAGAAATTCATTAGATATAGCAGAAAAGCTGTTCCACGCAGCCTCTTACAAAAAGCTTCTACATGAGGCAACCACTGAAGGCGAGCATCTAGGTGTATTAATCGAACTGCATATGGAGCAGCTTAACAGCGACATACCTAATTTTTGAATAGCAAGTTTCGTTCTTCTTTGTTCTATAGGCTCATATTCTGGGAAACGCATACCGTAAGGAATGTCAAGTGTTGAACGATTCTTGAATTTATAAGCATCATAAAATTACATCTATAACGTATTATGAATAAATAAACATGTGTTTTACACTCCATCTATGTAAAGGCGTGTAACATCATGATATGAATCATCGTAGTGCATGATCATTTTACCAAATTATTCTTTGGTGAGTGGATATACATGGTTGATGATTAAAATGGTAGTTTTCTGACGATCTGTGAATCTTGATCGTATCGGCGACACGTACGATACAGAATACGATGGTAAGATGCTCCAGGACCGGAGGCAGAAAGCTCCAAAGCTCCAAGTAGGTAGGTAACTTAACAATTTGAAATGAAAGACAAAGTCTTTCTATGACATACCATGACTGATGCTAAATGTTGCTGCTGGTATCCATGGTTATTATTTTTTGCCTTGTATTCCATTATGATCAGTATTAAGTTAGTCGAATTTTATTATAAACTAAAATAGCTTCACAACGACTGAAGATAGGTATGAACTTTATTATACAACAGGTACTAAAAACTTCATGAAAAATCTAAAAATCAAAACAATGTGGGTTGCCATTTAAAAACCTAAAGTGTGACGCAATGTCTTATTTCTGAATCACCCTGTATTGTCCAGCTATAGTTTTTCCCAAAATATACCAATAGAGTCACAAATGGGAGTACGACCTTCTCGTTGGGTCATCCTGTATAGAGATTAAAGACATATCTAACTTAAGTCAGACCAGAAACAAAAAAGTTATTCACACATATTCTATGGCATCCATGAAAAGATAATATTGATCGTAGAAGACAAAGAAGAAAGAGAAGAAGAAGAAATTATGCCAATTTGAAGAGGCCAAAAATGGCAAAGCTACTGCGAAACTTACTTGAGGGTGGATTTCACAATTTAACAAACCATTATTCTGCACCAATAGGGTACGAGTACCAAACAGCCCGTTAAATATCCCCAATCAGCCTCAAGATCTCGCCGTCAAATGTTTGGCAGCAAATAGCATCAAAGTATTCAAAACAAAACACTGTAAAATATGAAGTGACAGCTTGCCATTGAAATCTTTCGAGTTTATTAAATATTATGAAATTATGTAAAACTGAGCCAAAATTTTTAAAAATGCTTGATGTCTGAGTAAAATCTATTTTTTCAGATTAGCTGAAGGTTTTTCCATGTTTACTGCAACTTTTGTAATTCATATGTGATTATATCACCTACTGTGTGCTTATAGTTTATTCTATATTTGCAAACTTGCACTTCCAAACCTTTACATGAAAAAGCCTTTTCACTCAAATTTTGCATTTCAACACATTCATACACTTCTTTCCAGTTCCTCAACGATATTTTAACCCCACTGGTCCGAAACTGTTCAACAGTTTCAACATTCATACATACAATTGCAGTTGCAGTTTTTTGTTTTAATTTCAGTGTATAATCAATCGCACTATCGGTGATGGTACATTCAACATAACCACTGTAACGCTTCCTTTCCGCAAAAAGTCCAGAAAAGATGGAATGCAATGAAGAATCCAACTTTTCTGCACAATCACAGAAAGGGGGTTACCATTAGCTTCCGGTAGCTCAGTCGGTGGCATGAAGACATCTACAGGCGTGTAGCTGTGTGTCGACCATGGCATGGCTAGAGGATAGAAGAACAAACAGAACACAAAAATTTAACAGATTTTATTTAACAAAAAAAAAGGCATTTTCATTACATTACAATTTTACAAAAATAACAAAATAAGTTTTACATCTTTGGCGCTACTATAACGCTATCGACTTATCTTTCGCTGGTCCATTTTCACTCGACTGAAGCCAGGATGGCCAGGGGCTTGAAGGGGAGGTCCCAGTTATGAGGGGTGACCTCCATATAGTGGCTTCACAACCAGTTGTAGGCGAAGTTAAAGGCGATGGCGCTGCCAAGGTACATGCATGGGTGAAAATATTGGCCAAGGCTAGGCAAAG